GGGTCTGTATTTCGGAGTCTATCCTCCACAATGTATTCACGTACTTTATTGCGAAGCTGGACAAGTATCCATAACTGGACTCTTTTTGGTAATAAGTATCTTGGGTTATGCTGACCTGCACAGGGGCCAAGTAACGGTTCCTGTGCAAAAGCAGAGGTTGATCATGATATGCTTGAGCTATTTGTCGAAGGTCTCTTGATGCTTAATTCCCTCAAGCAGTGGAAACTGTTTAGAAGAAAACATCTTTAGTATGCATTATGAAATTCTACTTATACCTTAATTTGCATCAGGAATTTCAGAGTTTGTTGGGAGTCGATGTTGCCTGCTCAGTAGCAGGAGTGGTTCAACATGTGCCTTAGTCTCAACTCCCAATTTCGAAATACAAGCCCATCATTTTTGTGATTTTGCTCTAATGTGCTATTTTTGTATAGTTGTGACATCTACTAGTTGTTTACACGCTGAAATTGGCAGGATATTCTATTTTAAAATGTTTATTCATAACTTATTTACTGTAAGGAAAGTAGAGGCATGGAAGCCTGCTTCATTCCTTAAATTTTCTTAATTTCTTACGAAAAAAATCCAGTATTTTTCCCTCTTAAATGTAGCGAAATTTTTTTAAACATAGTCCATGCAGAATTTTGGCTGTTACGGACACAAGTGCTTGTATTTACATGATTACAGATATGCCTTACCCCGATTATGAAATATACGTGTGATTGGATAAATGCAGTCTCACGATGCACGATGCACCGTTTTTCTGACTACTGGCTTTAATCCCACGATAACCCTTCATCAATATTACAATGATGTCATTAATGTCAATAACAGGCAAAATGGTTATCAAATTAATACATGTGATGTAATACGTCGGTTGTTTGCTCAACTCTCGTTTACGGTGAAAGGACCGCTTAGATGCTCCGCCATTGTACCTCCACCGGATGTGCTGACCCCCAGGCCATGTCATTAGCCCTAAGACCTTCTGCATACCTACAATACATGTTCTCAAGAGGATTTTCGGCACGCTGCTTTGGTGGCAATGAAAAACAAACTAAACGCTAAAGGACATCAATTCTGATCTCTACTGTTGGCTGAAAAACCTTATTGAGGCGGAAAAAGTGCATATGCTACGGATGGGAGAATCGCTGACAAATCCTTATTGAAAGGCTGCAAATGAAGGCTACCTTCTTTAACTGCCCCATTCCCGTGATCAGCGGGAAAGTTGTTAACAAGTGTAGTGAGGCTAGCCGTGAACCTTCAGGAAAAGTTGGTTACAGAGCAACCTGCCCTACCTATATATGAAGACATCAAATGCATGATAATGCTGTTCCGCCTCTATCTCAACTGGCTGGATAGAACCCCTATAGCTGTGGCTGGCTAGAACTGAAGTGAGAGCGAAGTCTTAGGGAGAATAGACACAAAAATCTAACTTCATGAAATTGTGTAAAATCCGGTCCTTTGTTATGTGACTTCTTTTGAACTAGTGTTCTTATGACTATGGGAAAAGAAACTTGGGCCCTGTAGAATTGCCAAGAGGAATCAATGGCTTTTCGTCAGGTATCTTCACAGTTTCCTGGAAATTCGGTGACTGGTACGGTCCGCTCCTGAGTACTTTTCCTTATGGCACCATTTACTTTGTGTTGGCTGGCATAATAGGCGGACCGGGAAAAGCCCCGTGGAAGGCGCTCAAAAGAGGAGACAGACTATGTAAAAAGTGTTGTTGGTTTAACTCTCGCTTTTGGCAAAAGTGCCATTTAGGTGCTCCGCCATTGTACCTTCACCGGGTGATTTGGCCTCTGGACCACGCCTTAGCCCCAAGCCCTGCTCTATGCAGACTATGTAAATTCTGCAGAAGTTCGATGTCTTCCCTTGGACGCTAGTGAATCTTCTTGCGTTTACTATTTGCAAAACGTCAACAATTCGTTATTTCAAAAAATCCCTCAATTACTCACAAGAGAATTTTTATTGCTACCATATTTTAGTAAACTCTGCTTACTTTAACACATATTCCCACATATTTATCCAATCATTTGGTGTTAAATGTGTGTTGCTTAAAATACTTCTCTTTTCTAGAGGACACATCATATTTAAAGTGAGAAGTATACCTTCGCCTTTCACTCCTCTGCCATGTTATATTGCTACCTTGCGGTAATCATCATCCCGAACCCTGCCCTAGTTAAAAATAAAGCACTCAAATGAATTTTTCGAAAATTGTTCATTGGAAACAGCCTTGGGTGTGTGTGTTTAGCAGCGGAGCTTTGCATTATTTAGTGCACTAAACCATGCTTGAAGTTGGTCAAAATCCAGGCCCCGCGTTCACCCCGTTGTGGGGACACGTGTGCTTCGATTGCATGTGCGCCTGCGCACTTCTGCCCAATTGGTTGGGCTCCGCGCAACCCCATGCATGCATATACACACGCACGCACCGGACGAGCCAATAAAATTCCCACATTTCTAATTCGTTTGCGTTGCTCTCCTCCTATGCAATGTTCGCCGTTTTAATTGACAAGAAATTCAAATAAAACCTCTTGGTAAAAAGCAGCAGAAGGATGATTTGAAAAAAAAACAGAAGATTGGAGAAAATTTTTTCTTTTGAAGATATGGGGAATGGTTAAAAACACTCGAATCAAATGCTTAGCACTTCTACGAATTCATCATCGTCGATAAGGTCATATAACCTCAGGGAGGACAAATGAAATGGGAAAAGGGTAAAGGACTACTAAAATTCAGTTGTCCAACAGTAGTGAAGTCCAGGTTATAGAAGTGCAAATAAATGACGCATCGAGTTAAGTATTTGACCACATGAGCCTTTCCAGCCATCCATGATGTTGGTGGGAGACACTGCTGGTGTTATTTTTGCCATTTTGTCTCACAACTTCTGTAGGAGTATTTCTATGGACTCGTACCATTTACTTGCGGTGACGTAAACACCGTCCTCTTAAAACAGCCAAACCTGCACAAATTGCATTCACTCCAATTATTAGGCTCAAGCAATATTTTATATGCCAACACAAATCCACGAAAAAATTCTACATTTACATTAGACCACCTCAAATCACTGTAGAGTGAAAGAAGAGGGAGTGGATGGGCACAAGGCTCAGCGTCCTCAGGTCCGTTCACCTATAAGTGGAGTTACGGGTTTCCCACACAAGTGGTTCCCTATCCCGTTCCTTTCTTCTCATGACCTAGATAGCCGGACAGACCATCCATACACATCACCACCTCTGAGGGAGAGGCATACGTAGGTACACTATACTGTGGTGTTCGAATTATTATTGAAGGCATTATACGGTAGGTCTGAGGACCAACTTAGTGCTATCTGGTCAACTACCAAAGATTTCTCGGATCCCATCCGCAGATCACCTGTTTTCACATAAACATTACAAGCAGTTCTAATGAGAGTGACTTTCATCGCTTCAAATAGCATCTTACTGCATTGCCATTCAATGCATAAACCTGAATTGGGTCTTCACCAGCAATCGACGTGGTTTCAATAACACTTGTTGTAAGAGGCTCTGCAGATTCAGCCATCTATGCCTGATGCCATTTTCCGATGGTGTTTTGGTGTAGTAGTTAACCATTGAAATACAAATCGTTGTTTTTTACATGCCAGTTAGTAAACGATGCCACCACTAGAGCGCTGAGAGATTGCCAGCTTAGATAGTACGAGCATTATTCCCCGGGAGACTAAAAAGGTCTGCATATGAATTTATTAATCAAGACGAATTTCAGTTCCAAATAACATAGATAAAATAGGTGCTACCAGGAACATTTCAGTTGAAGTCTTTTTTCCCATTGCTGGGTCCGTTTCCTTTCGCCTAAGGGCTTCTGTGGTTGCTGAGGCTAGTTCAGATTGCACCCTTGCACCGCACTTGTTTTTCCCTATTTTGAATTTTACAGAACAAAAACCAGTTAACAATTAATTATGTTGTACCTTTTTTGATTCACATTAAATATACCACTTGGACATAAAAAACACCGATTCACCACGAAGTAGAAGGACTAGACTGAAGACAATTATTGTGCTGCTTTTTTGATTAAAAACAATCTCTTCATGATAACAGTTTGCAAATCTGCGAGGAGGAAATCTGATCGACGCAATGGCTCCAATCTGGGTCGAACCCCTATGTAGTGCTTGCTAGCCGCGAGCAAAGATTATTCACCCAATCAAAGGGCGAGTTTTGGGTGCACACATTTGCGCGTACGTGCACGCATGCCAGTCCAGAGGAGTCAAACCTAAAATACGATATGGGCATGCACCTGGTTAAAGCAGAGGTTTATGTTAATCTTTTTAGTTACACTCGTTTTACACAATTAGATTTAGATTAAAATAACCAGTCTGCAGTCTACAAAAGACTTTGGTTACCAAGTTTATGATCTTCTAAACTTCAAGCCTTATATCTTGTCTGATTCTGATCTGGTACCATTACCATTATCGTAGACACAATTAAGAAATTAACAAATGGGACGGAAGAAGGGCGTGCTGCTGTGGATAAGAGGATTTGTGATGGACCCTGCCAGAGTGGTGACACCATGCTTTGTAAGAAAGCAATTAGCAAATTAAGCAAAGCTAGCCGTAAACTACTAGGAAAAGGCCATCACGTAACTGTCTACCATACCTGCGTCAAGATATCAAATCTGTGAAGTCGCGATATCTCTCTACTAGGTGGATGAAACAGATAGAGATGGCTGGGCAGCACTGAAGTGGGAAAGTGGCAAGTTGGAAGAGAAGCGAAATCCCATTTGCATCAATCTGTGTTAAACTCCGTCCTTTGTAATATGGCTGATTTTAGACCGGTATTCCTACAACTAGCCGTGGACAAGACTGGTGACAGCCATATTCCCCCATCCCCGAATCCAGTTGCCCTACAGGACGAAACCCCAGGCCCAGCAAAAGCGCCAAGAGAGTTCAGTGACGTCGAGGTCAAATATCTCTTCAGTCGTATGGAAATTCGATGATCGGCATCGTTAGTTCATGGATGTTTTGCTTACAGCACTGATGGCTGACGTGGGAGGTTGACCGACGGAAGCGCTGGGCAAGACACTTAGAAGAGGAGAGGGGCTATATAATGCATTGGCCGCGTGTTTAACTTTTTTTTCGGTAAAGGTACCACTTAGGTGGGATGGCGTTTGAACAACGTTTTAGGCCCAAGCCCTACTCCATGTCGAATATATCCATTCTGTTTGAGTGCGCTGCCTTCTATTGTCTTTATGGAAGTTTTGGGGTGCTAAGCTTGTCACCGACTTCAGTTTCAACAGCTGCACTAGAAGTACGAAAAAAACAAAATCAACTTTAAAGATGGGCATGCATTTCAGTAGTATCAACCATCCATGCCCCAGGTGCAGTGTTCCGCGCACCATCGATCGCAACGACGGTGCAGCCTGCACACCCTGTCCGATTTTTGGAACAGCCTGCGTGCACACGCACGACCATAAGTGTATCCCCATTCTACCTCTTGGGCGTTCTTTGTGCGCCGTCCACACCACCAAATGGGAGGCGCCCCTTTTAGCTGCGTTATTTTCATTTCTAGTTTTAATCAAATAAATTACACCGTTACCAACAGTGACCGAGAGCATTAAAATTAGGATGACGTCAAGTAAAAATTACATTTGATAACAAATGGGAATGTATTCAGAAAGGGAGCAACAGTACTACTGAAGGGTATAATGGTTTAATTTTCTCCCACTCTCTTACACTCACTTGATATTGTTTAGAATATTTTGCCGTCAGAATGAAAAGGTTGAAGTAGATTTATTAGAATTACGAAATCTCCATCTAAAAATGCGCATAAGCTGGAAATTACTACCTGAAATATCAAAAAGGACTTCACATAAAGAGTTAATAAGTCGGCTTTCTTTATGAGGCTAAATATGCATAAAAGGAATGCTGCAGTACTTTAACTGCCATTTAGGGTCACCTCCATTGTGGCTTCGTTAAGTGGCCAGGCCTCTGGCCCATGCCATGTTCTGTCCGAGTACTGCCTCTTCTTTCTTCTTCAGGGTGGTCTAGGGGAGCTACAGATATTCCTCTGTACATCATCTTTAAACACAAATTTGATACATTTTGTTGAATTGAGCGTTTGACTACGCTGGCCTTTCAATATCCACCCATACCTTAGCCTCCCAGTTCTTCTGTGTACCAGAACTGGCATGGCTTATTCTGACTTCAGGAAACGATCTCAAACCCCACACCTACACATTCCATTAAGGAACGTTTCTGTAAATCAGTGCATAGAAAGCTGCATCCAGCTTAACCCTAAAAAAGATGGTGATAGATGAAAATGAACGCAATGTCTTTGATGTGGCAGTACTTAGCGTTTCAATACAATCTTACCTGAATAATTTCCCACAAGAAGTAGTGTCCAAGGGAGTAGGAGGATCGGAAACCGTGTGAAGCATTTTTAATAATTTTGTCCATTCGTAAAGTGGCAATATGATTTTTTCATTCTGGTATTATTATTCACGGGAGGCAGGAATGCGATTGAAGCGGGAAATTGAAGGCTCCACTCCCGGTTGACGATTCTAGTTTTTATTCGGTTAGTTAAAGGTGTCACAAATGTAAGGTAACTGATTGGAATAATCAACATCCGAGTCACCTCTTCTTTTCCAAGCAGGCACGAGCTTACGAATTCCACCATTACGAGACGGCCCATCCCTCTCTTAACTTTCTACTTCACATGGAACTAACCCCAAGGGAAGGTGACATGCGTAGGTCAGAGTGGCAACTGAATTTAGGTTACAAGCCTCAAAAGGTGGCAAGAGGTCGTGGTGACATGCCATATTGAAAGTTGCAAGGTATTTTGGTTGCCTGGTCCATCTAACAGTATCAACGACTTTTTAGAAATATTCAATATAAAAGGAAAGCATTGTCATTCCCTAGAAGTGAAGAGATAAATTAAGCAACCAAATTATGAGAAAATTGCTTCCACTTAGCACTTGAAGCAATTTTTAAAGAAAATTGTTGGAATAATGCTAATGTTATCTGCACTGACAAACAGCCTACGCATTAGCTGAGAAATCAAGTACAAAATAGGATTGATGTAGCCGAAAGAGGAGTTAGCACATTCATCAACACAGAACATGGCGAATTCCATCTGAAGTGGCCATCAATTCATGTGGCCTGAAGGTACCGTGAGAAAGTTGATTGGCTGGACTACTAGGGTCATCGTCATGAGAACCTTTTCTAGCACAATGCGCCCACTCACACGAAAATGTTGTTCCATTTGATGCTTTGGGTAAAAAAATAGACAATACTTAGTTTTACTTAGCCCTTGAACATGAAATATCCGATATACCAAGTTTTGGCACCTGTGTCACATATATGTGACACTGCAACTTTCTTATCGAAGCTTGCCATTAACAAATACACGGGACATGACATTTATCATTTTGGCTTAACTTGTCACAATAAAGTATATCAAAAATAACAAAGTAGATGTTGGAGGTTCTTGTTCTGAGGAAAATGACATTTTTAGTTTGAATTGGTAAATTAAAGGTAACTCATGTTACCCTTGAACAGCAAAAACATCTGGACCAGGATGTTCGACTGTACTAGAAGCGATACCCTAGGAATTGCCATACCTGAATGCTTTCCACGTAATGAATTAAACAGAGTCGGATAGCTCGTAATCTGCATCCTTTTGCTCTCCCACATCAACGTTTCTCATTGGAATATCTAGGCCTCCCGTTCTTTGATCTCTTTCAGTTGTCTTCGCTGCTGTATTTTAATCTCGCCAAAATTCTTGACGAAAATACAGGGAACTATCGAAATTACTCAAAAAGGGAGTAAATCAGCCCAAAGAAGTTAGCCCAGAGTTTGGAGTTATACTTACAGAAAGCAGAAAATATATGGCCTAGTAAGCTGAGAGGACACAATGGGAATTCCCACGAAAAGGATTATGATTTTTGATTTGGTGGGAGACGCTGAAGGATGTTACTAGCTTTTACGACCTCCTTCCCATCCGCTTTGGATGCAGCAATCGAAATAAATTATAAAAAATGAAATTAGATAGGAAGTGACTGTGGAAGTGATGTGGAAATGCTAGAGACATCCAATTTATGTAGGGACTTAATTTTAGACGCTCAAAGTAGGACGCAACCACATGCGTTGGTGAGGGGTAAGTGTGTCCGGTTACTCGTACTCATAGCCACTGCACATGACATGGCCGCGTCCAGTCAAGACACCGTCATTCAGGATGACAAATGACAATGGGAGTAAGTGCCTGCGCTTAACAATGAGTGGCGATGAATGAAGTTCCTTGTGAAAAGCAGCAGAGATTTTCATCGATAGAAGATTTTATACGAAGTATGTACGGTGATTGAGCACACATTCACCCACCAGTCAAATATCTGGATGGCATGTGGAATTTAAAGACAAGGACAATTTGATAGTCCCGGTTGTGGCGGTTGGCTCCCACTCTACAGCATCGGAGTGACTTATTCCAGGTAAAGCGCATCCATTCAACGGATGGGCCGCATTAATAACCCATCATATAACATGAGGTGAACACAAACGCTTGTAACTTTGAAAGGTTGGTGTGGGCTAAGTAACAACACTTTATTCTCCCAGGCCAGCGCAGGAGACCACCCTAGGATGGTTCGACCATGCTGATAAATCTTTCCATGCTATATCCACTTTTTAGTTAATAGTTCAGCTCCGAGGTAGGTGTGTAAACACAGTACCTATTAGGAACTCAGGAGCCTTAGTTCAATCTAGATATTCCATGTAGCTATTGCTGTTGCCTTATTCAGCTTCTATGTAGATTGTATTAATAAGCCTTAAATGTCAATTTTTACAAAAAAGATCGTTGTCTCAAAGGAAGGATTAAAATTATCCACGAGATGGTGTAAGACAATGAAATGATCCCTGCCGTGAGCACAAAAGGAATGACAGTATTGCTGTGGAGGCGAAAAACAAGGCCAACTGTTGACTACGGTAGCGGTTTAGGAACCTTATATCGAAGTCGCATTTACAAATGTAACCAACCGGTACAATGTTGCCGACTTAATAATGGATGGTTTGCAACCAGTACAGGGTTTATGTGAAATCCCTTCTTTGCAAATTCATTATATCTGGTTGTACCACGTATTGTTCTAGAAAATGAGATAGCTGTAGAGAGATCTTAGTTTATGGACAAATACATGTTATCAGTCCATGAGCAACAAGACATTACATTGGGCTGCGACTTTTGATTTCCTTCTGAGGCAAGCGCCGGTAGTGAACATGTTAGGACAATTATCACCAGCATCTTGGCTCGAATGAGCCAGTAGGGTAAGCAAGTAATGAATAATAAAGACGAATACAAAAAAATGAATCGTACTAACAATACTAACCCCTCAAGATACAAGCAGCATTTTAACGTGGAACTGTTACTCACTAATATTAACTAAAACACAAAGCGATCCCATCGGCATTATCCACATTCCCGGTTGTATTAGACTATTCAGATATCAAAATTCCCAGAAATGGGTTAGGCACGCACTCGCTGACGAATTCGAGTGGATTATGAAGGGGGGTGTTACATACAACTTTAAACAGCCCAGTAAAGTAGATCTGGAGGTGTAAATTGGCAACCTAGCAAGCCATTGAGCGCTGTGCAGAATGGTCGTACTTTCATATGGATATTTTGAGTGTACGTTAAATTTAGGAAGAAGAGAGTTTAAATAGATACTTTGGCACCAATTTGCGGATCAATTCTGTAAACGGCCTAAACATAGTAGAGCAAATCATCAAACTACGACGATCAGACATTAGATTAATATAAAATTGTGGTTCGTTCTAATCCTACAAATTGCTACTCCGGAGTTCATACCCTGACAAGGCAGCACAACTGTCCAGTGTTTGGAATGGTAAAAATGCCCTATTAAAAGGCCACATTCACGATTGATTTCATCACAGTAGAAATCATATCAAATAAACATTTATACTAAAAAGGGATGAAAACCAATAAGTGGTCCTAACAAAGAGTTAACTCTATAATAATAAACACTATTAATGGCACCAACGATACAGAGGTAATGGATATAAGAGCTTTTCCTGATTAACACCCACCACATCCAACGTTTCGTAGAAGGTCGATCTTTGTAGTAAATAGTTTGTAATTCCAAGAAAGACCCACCAAAAGTTAAACATTGCCTCATAAACGCCATATCCACTCACTAAAATAACAGAGACCGAAGAAGCTCAAATAAGCATGCTACAAAATTAATTAAGACACCTTTTGCCAGTACGGAGAGCAACTAATGCAATCATTTTTGATGCACACGTAAGTGTTTAAATAAAGTGAGGTGCACACATAATACGAGGCTTTCGTTAAATGCGCCTGACTAAAAACTCGCATAAGCACGAGTAAGTGGAATAAAAGTTAACAAGTAAGCCATCACACTCACTGAATTAAAGTTTTTCTTAGTAGTCTTAACACTGTCACACATTTTGCTGATGAAAAATCAGAGATGTAAAAATGAGATATATGCTCTAAATAATCTCAGTTCTTCTAGCTATGAAAAAAACCTCAGAGCTAATCATTTGTCCAAAGTTAATGTACCGTGGTAACTGACTTGTTTGGTCATTCCTGTGCTGCTTATTATTGAGGCGTGCAGCAAGACCAGACGAAGCTGACGATTACTTGACCCCTCAGCTTCGCCAGTATCTTGCCACCAGCCAACAACAGACATCCGAGCCCTTATGTCCATCCAAGGGCCGATGCAATCACAATCCGCTTTTAAAGGGGTCCTCAAATTGAGAGAACCAATAGGAATTGCGATACACAGTCAGGTTGTACAAAGATAAATCCTTGATTGGCCTATTGTTATTGCAACAAATAAAGACTTTCTGCCAAAATCTTAATTGTTGGCACATTTCTACAAATTCAAAATGTGAAAATCAGCGATTTTTTTAGGATGGGTAGCCAAAATGGGGCCCAGGTACGCACGGCATAGTACGAATGCATACTCACTTGTGAGAAATTGATAAGCGTATTAAAATTAAACAATACTAAAATTGTTTTCCAATTGCATTGAGTATTTAAAACTGCTTTGCAACAAGCCGCTTCTAAATTAAAAAGTTGCGTTTTGTTTTAATTTGTCTGTATTCGTTCAGGCGTTGCGGACATGAAGTAAGTTGCATGTGGTGTTTTTGGTTTATGCCTTCTTTATTCGAGCACTTTCTTTGCAGAGGCGATACGTCTTCTTACTATTTGTACATAAGATAGAGTTTAGTCTGATACATGGGGTTTACATGTGTACTAATGGTTACCAAGGCAAAGGATGTTTTTCTGGCACTTATTGCTTTCAACATTTCAGCTGTCTGCTTTCTTAAGTCAGTTTGGTTTTTGTGTTAATTTACTTATATTGTGTCCTCTTTGAGTGCTCTCCATTGCTGAAGTTGAATATCCATGCGTATCACAAAACATTTAGGTTGGAAGTCTGCTCCTACAGTGGATATAAGGTATATCCAGGCCACGGAAAGCGCGCCATTCGTGGTGATGGTCGCCAATTCTATTTCCTCAGCTCTAAGTGCGAGCGCTCTCATTACCTGAAGCGCAATCCACGTGAGGTCAGCTGGACCGTTCTTTACCGTCGCAAGTATAAGAAGGGTGCTGTTGAGGAGCTCACCAAAAAACGCACCAGAAAGGTTACTAAAACCGCCCGTGCTTTCGCTGGCGCTAGCCTCACCGAAATTATGGCCAAACGCAACCAGAATCCCGAAGTTCGCAAGGCAATGCGCGAGCAGGCTATGCGAGCCATGAAAGAAAAACAGAAAGCCAAGGAGGCTGAAAAGAGGGCTAAGAAGGCAGAACTGAAGAGGAAACAAAACGCAGGACCTGGCCAAAAACAACAACAGAAGGCTGCGAAGAAGGTTAGCAAGCCGACTCAGAAGGTTGGCAAGCGATTCTAGCTTATGATCCACACTGTTGATTATTAAAATTGTACAAATGGTGCAGTTTTTTTTCGCTTTCTAAATTAAGTTCTTTGTGGAGGTGAATGGGTCTTTGTGAATTGTGCAGACTTGCCGCTAAGCTCTGATCTAAGGTTTTTGGGTCTTGATGTATTAGATGTTATGGTCATTGATGTCTTCGAGTCGATTGGGCGAGATCGGTGTTGCTCATTGGTTGCCAGTGGGGTCTCCGGCACATTACCTCCGTCGGTGTCGCTACATACCGCAACCTTTTGACAGGATTGGTACTTAGCAGTTTTTGGTCGCTAGGCGTGCCTTCCCTTTCATGCGCTTTCGCGGGTGGTAGTGTCTTGTTGCAGTTAGAACACGCTCGAAGTTTCCACTGGCAGGGATGGCGTGAGTGGTGCTTTCTGTGGTCTAATGAGTGCTTTATTCGTTTTAAGGGAGGCAGGTGTGTTTACCATGTCGCTCGCTCATGTGGGGAGGTGAATGTCGGTTAAGGGGTCGCATTAACAAATATGGACCAGTTTCGACTGTTCACAGCTTTGAGGTGCGCAAAAGCGGAGTTGTCTGAGCTAGAACTTGGTTTTCATTAAAACTCAGGGGGAATGCCTGAACTACTCTTCCAGTGATTCGTAATAGAATGTCTTTGCATGCAGCCAAAATTTGTGTACATGCATATGAGCGTCTATGTAATTTGCTGCACGACCGATTAGCAAACAATGAAGACGTATACAGTTAGGTTGAGATCCAGTGTGAAGTACTTATCCTGCAGTCCAAGGTCAGAGGAGCTTTGTGTTGCGGTGCTTGGTACCTCCCGCCTTTATCTTGCAGACGCGCGCGTGTGTATTTGGTTCCTAGCTTTGTTTTAAGTTTAAAAATCAGATCAGGGCAGTCCGCAACTGAACATCTGGTGGATGAAGGCTAATAAATCTTTTATAGGGTGGATGAGATGTAATTGATGTTGGAGTGTTTTACGGATGTCGACGTTTGTCATTGGGTTTGCCAACAGGGTGGCAACAACGTGCAATGCATGATGTACGGGCAATTGGACTATGGTTACAAAAAACTGTATTAAAAACACAACGGTTTGGACCAAAAATCTTTTACTTGAATAACTTATAGCCGTTGCGGGTCACGAGTTGCCCCTCAGCGATGTTCTAATTGATGTTCCTGGAATGGTGATCCCATGTCGTGTTTTGCATAGTATGCAACTTGGCCTGGCGCATGGACGCACTGAAGTGAATTGCAAAGTAGACTATGACCGATTAGAGGAATATATGACAGTGAAACTTGATTGTTTCACAACATTTCTTTTACCCCTGCAAATACCATGGGGTTATCGACTTGGTAGTTGTTGCTAGTGCTTCCTCGTCACACGCAACTGGCAGCATTCCTTCTTCACGTCTCGTTTCACCGTAATGTACTGGTCATGGGCAAACACCATTCCCCACATTGGATGTAACGATGCGGTGGCTAACTTGGAGGTTTGTTCAACTCCCTCTAAGGTGCTAATCTGGTCATTCGTCTAGATGAAGAGATCAATCTATGAAGGCGAAGACGTTGTCCGTTATAGAATATCATCACCAGAGACGAGAATAAAAATGAGGGAGTGGAAGAGGAGGAAGAGAAGTATATGATGAAGAAATTGGGGAGTAAATAGGAGGAGAGGCAAGGAGGGAAAAGCAGAAGTGGCAAGATCACGAGGTCAGGCGTACCAAATACATTGAAGTGTGGGTAGGGGTGGAGGAAGAGGCGAGGTGGGTGATGATAAAGGGAAATGGTTAAGAATTGGAGGAGAAAGGGGAGAAAGGCAAGGGATGTAAAGAGCTGCAACAGCGGGAATAAGGGGAGTACCTGATGAGGAGGTGGCGTCAATTATAAAAGTGTGAGACAGCTTTACATTTCATCACACTCTCCGAACTCTCCCACTGAGAGCTGCCTAATCTCAGGAGTCGATGGAATCGGACGATGTTTTGACGCAGACAGTGCGGCTGGTCAGGAGTACAAGTATATGTTTCACCTGCCTAATGAAAAATTTAAACCACTACTTCGCCGATGTGGTTGGCTATATATTGCCGAGGGCAATATCAACCGTTTGAGGGCACATTGAACCGCCTAAGTCGATAATGGCGTCAGACGCATGATATTGCCAGAAGTATTGCTTTGTGTTCACATATGAAAGAAGACTTTGCTGACTTCGCCACGGGCTTTCGGCAATGCCAATGGACTTTGACAGGAGTCCTCTGAAATCGCCCTTGGTACCTACACTTTGGTCATAGAAGCCATCAATGTTGGACTAACTTGGCAGTGTACAGCGCGGATGACGAGCAGTAGCCAGGATATTGCGATAGTGTGTTGGGGCGGGGGATTCATATCGAAACAAGGATGCAAAATGGTTAGTAAAGGAAGCAAAATCCACCAACTTCAAACCAAACGCAAAGCATTTGAAAACAACAGTGCCCTTTTGCCATGACTGAATGGTGAGTGAGGCCAGTGTAACAAAATGAGGAGAAAGGCAAACACCGCAACCACTTTATTGCGTGGAGTGAGGCAGCCTCGTGGCATGGAAGTTAGCAGTTTTGTGGACATAGTTTGTGCTCATGAATACATGTGAATTGACTGTGCACTGGAGCAGATCTGCTGAAGACGCGGTTGCATGACATTTGGAAGCAGCAGAAGAAGTGGGTCAATGATACACTGCTTGGATGGGTGTGATGCGAGTGTCTTGAAGTTGTAGACCTACTAAGTGCTAATGAGTGGCATTTTTATGCAAAACGAGCCCACACATGAGTCTCGAGGGTGGATGAGAGCCAAGGAGGTGGCGACTACCTTTCGTGGTGCAGATGTGCTGAAATTGCAGACCAGGTCCATATGAGCTAACGCTTTGAGATGTCATTGCAGAGTTAGTGCAAGGATGCAGGTGGTGGGATTTACGTATTAATGTACGCCTCATTACTACTGCTGATTAAAAGACATGTTTGCAGGCTGAAATGCTGCATTCTGGTGATAGCAATGATGAAGTCTAGCCTCGTGGTTAGTAACTGACCCACAGTTGGATGATGAGGGTGACTGAGGATGGACTAATTGAGTTAAAGTGGTACGGATGTGCATTTTGGATACAAGGGAGTGAGTTCCATCTCTATCGTGAGTACATTGGAGAGGGAAGGTAGTTCAATTGTGGGTCAAGTGAAAGCATAGAGTGGTGAGAGCTTGGCTTACAACGGCATTGTATGTTGGCAGTCTAGTATGAGAGGTTTCATTCCGGCGACTTCAGTCCTGAAGATGAAATACACACTTTGTGAGAAGTCTGAACAAATGACAAGGGGAGAGCTAATGACGCCTTAAAAGCACTTTTGTTCGATATGGGTATTGATCCTCTTTCAAGTGTGAGTGGAGCTATCAAAGACGTAGATCGGCAGATATCTGAGTGAATGTGAGCAAGAAGAGACAGGTGTGTGGCATCAGAACTATAATTAGCTGCTTTGCAATTTTTCTCACTGTTACATTGTTGGTGGGCTTCCATTGTTTGGTACAAGTGCATGGATTCCACTGGGTCCAAGTTACCCCTTCCTTTTAAGAATCATGTGTAACCTCTGCGTGGAGTGTCTGCTGTCCAAGAAACTATTCATTGACCATGTCCACTATCTCAACTAATCATGAACTACGGTCTCAAAAATGCACCATTCAGAGACATTCTTTGAAGGCCTTACTGAAGAGGTGAGCTCCTTTCTTCCAGCTTTGGCAATCCTCCTCTGTTTCCATGCCGAGTTTGAACTAGTAAAGGGACGACCAAACAGGATTCCAAATTCAACTGGATTTAAAACGGAAGATGTTCATCAGGATCCCTGAAAAAGTGGACTTTGGTTGTGTGTTTAAAGAAACGTGTCTAATGTAACTTGAACAAAAAAGTATCCTATAGTGCGGCTATGGCACTGATACTCAGTACAACCAGCATCGGCTCAATAAGTCACAGGTGCCACTTTGAAGCGTGATGCAAAGCAAATGGTGGTTTCCATGCCAAGTTTGCGCAATGGTTAAGAGCACTCTTCAAGTGGGCACTGCTAAAAGGCGGATGTGGTGTAACTATAACGTAAGTTCTTGCGTCATGTCGACGTTCTTCAAATTGACAATGGGACCAGTACATAGCCTGGTGGAAAAGATGATCTTAACAGTCCTATTGGTTACTGTCGTTCAAAGATAGCACCTACACAGTTCAAACATTTATCTGATGGCGAACCGCAAGCACATTAACGGTGATCAATGCTTGGGCACTGACTCTCTCTTAAGGGTTGTCCTGTGAACATGCTGCCTCACGTGATGTGTTTTACGCTGGTGAGTGGAGGTGTCAGTGGTCTTCTGTAAAAGGAGTTATAGGTGACACGAATAAAGCTGGCAAAGAATGATACATGGTGGCAGGTCAGTCTATGCCCACATAGCTAGGAGTGCGATTTTACCTATTTTGTTAAGATTTGTTTCAAAGTGAGATCCCTCTTATTGGAGGTAATTTAGGCGATTTTGTGAAGGAATGACATGCAAGTCATGTCGCTGTGGAAAAGCATTGAAGACAATGCGTGTAGAGTGTGGTGCCTTCGTCAGTGCGTGTAGTGGCGGGGGTGTTGGTGAGTGTGGGGGCTGACAATCTCAAGTTAATTGCCCTCACTTGCATTCAACTTTCACGTTTGCCGGATAGCACTGCGAGGCGGATCTAACTACTCCAGTGTCGAGTATTGCTGGCGCACTATCCTATCACAGTAAAGTGTGAAGCGTTATGGAGCACGTAAGAAAGCCTATGGAAAGGCGTACTTGTGTGTAAAGCACACACAGGTAAATCAAGCACTTAGGTGGAGTATATTCAGCTCATTTGATGATCTCACTAATGAGATTTGTGACTT